CCCTAGTGCAGAGAGGCCCCAAGTTACTTGCTTTGATATTTAACCCCAGCTTGCTTATCTAGAATTGTTTATATATCTCCGTGGAGAGAATTTCCTACGTGATTCACTATTTTAAGTCAACAACAACAACAAAAAGGTTTAAGGCCATGTTTTTAGTTATGACACAAACTGACAAAATAGAAAAGAATTAAAGGTTAAAATTGCCACTCAGGCCTGAAATTGCCTCTTATGCCAGGTTATAATATACATCTGTCTATTCTGAAGGCAAAAGTGACTATTTTTTGTTTCCACTGCCAATTACTTTGTAGAAAGAGCCAGAGGGTCTTATTTATTTCACCACTACCGCCTATGGATGCTGTATATTTGTGGATATGGGTAGTTTCTTGGTTTTCCCCTACTGAGTCAGAACATCATGTTTGTCCTGGATATAAGTATGTGTGGCAAAAATCTCCTCACAGATCTGCACAGCAGATTTCCAGAGATATTTCATAAGTGGAAGTTCTGCATATGTAATGACAGGAGAGTACCAGCAGAGAGCTGTGCCTTGCAGATGGGAAGAGAATTGTGCCCTTGGTTTACAAATGATCTCAACTGAAAATGAAATGACTTTGAATAGCATATCCACACAAAGTCCACCTGCTGAGCTTATGACAAGACATTCATAGCCAAAGGTTTCCTAGTCCTACATGTTTGATTTCTTCACCAAAGCACATACTCCCCTAAACCTCATACAAAGGGCCAAATCCTGCATTTCTTATAGGGAGCAGTGCTGGGTTGGCAACAAAGCCTATAACACTGCAGTGATGTAATAAAAAGGAATAGAAATTGTATGCTAATAAGGGGAGGGAGGTTGCTAGGCAACCAGAGAGGAAGAGAAAGCAGTTTTTGATTTGAACTCTGTGCTGTCAAAGGGTTAGTATAGTCAGAACAAACAGGGCACATTTAATCCAGCTTGTCTGCAGTCATCATTAATTCAGCTCTGACTTCATGAACATTTTAAGCAGAGGTACGTTACAAGCAGAGAAGTGTCAGCTGTGTTTGAGTGCCCCATGTCACAGGGCAAGATGGCACAGGACAGGTGGGTGGAGAATAAAAAATGCTGCCTGTTTGAAGAGCAGCATGTGCCTCTGGCTAGCACATACTGCACACTGCACCATGCATGTAAACTAGTTTGTGGGGGAGGAGGGAGATGGCCATGCACCCTTGGGTCCAGGCAGACCATAGTCCCCTTTCTTTATGCTTTATTGAAGGCTGTGCAGATGGTCTGCCTAGATGCTACCAGGGTGCAGATTTTCACCATTCTTATGGATCTCTACCAGCTGTATAAATATGGTACTTTACGATTTAAGGCCCTGTCTATACATACATCTGTGTTGAGGAATCTGGTTATAAAGTTAAAACATGGTTGTCCCTTAACTAGGTTCCCTGTTGTCAGTGTTGCCAGCCCTTGTGATGTTTTCACAAGTCTCATGATATTCTCAGTTTTAAAGCCCCAGCTCCTGAAGGCATGCAATTGGGTGAGAATCATTTTTTTTAAGTAGTTTCTAGACCTCACTGGTTGCAGAGAAAAGCTTGAAAATGTGACAAGTGTATTTTAAAGGCTCAGAAACCAGAAGGAAAATGAAAAGCACCCAAAAGGTATTTTTTTTAAATCTCGTGATTTTGTGGTGCCTAACTCAATTTTTGAATATTTGGGTTAGCAATGCTATATTTGCAGTGCAGATAAAATCCTAAACTGCATACAACTTTCTGGGGATACATCTACACGGAGATAAAAGATGTACAGCATGGCCGCTGCTGGCCCAGGCTCACAGGCTGTGGGGCCATAAAAGTTGAGTGTAGACCTCGGACTCTGAGACCCTGCGAGTGTGACCCAGGCTCAGGGACTTGGTGCTACAGGCTGTCAACAGAAGTTGCATACACAAAATAATGAGAGAGAGAGAGAGAGAGAGAGAGAGAGAGAGAGAGAGAGAACGAACAGAATATACGAC